TAGATAACTAATACGTGGGTCGTGGAGTTGTTTTTTAAGTTTTTTTAGCCGTCGATTTACCCGCTACTTGGAAATCTCCAGGGAACACACCGTTGTATAAAGGTGGCAGAAGGGTCTCCAAAAAAACAAACTAAGAGTAATCAGCCTTATTTTGATCCGCTGCAAAATTATGGAAGAAGTAGTTGAGCGAAAAGTGATGTGATTCACAGAACAACCATACTTCACCTCAGAAAATATGTCTCGATGGGATTGGGAGGAGCGAGTCCGACATATTGGCCAAAAAGCAACGGAGAGTACAGCGTTATCAACAGCTGCCATGTCATTGCTGAAGTGAGAGAAAGAGAACGAGAGCGTTGCTGAGAGTATCGCGGTAGGGATGTGAACGATTTCATGGGAGAGGGTCAGAGGCTATTTCCATCACACGTGACCAAAACATCTTTATTCCAGATCCAGCAGAAAAGCGAAATTATTCTTTAAGAATAAATTTGTTGGACGTAACTGTACTATCAATATTCACAAAACGCCGTTATGTTATTGTTCCCTCCTTTAGTTGAGTTTATTTACATGTGTCATGTTTGGAAATCTTTGTTGGTGTTGTGGCTGTGTAAGAAAGAACTTCGGTTCCGCTTGGTGGGTTGTCATATGACTGAACAGCAAAACTGCCGATATACCATTGTACACAGTTAAAATGTAAATTTGGGAAAGCCAATTAAATAAAAAAAGATGTAGATTATAACTGTCAAGGCCATATCTATCTAGTAAGACTCCACTAATTGAACAAAATAGAGAACGCTGACTGCAGTTCATGTACGTACACACCAACTTAAATGGGAACTGAAGAATTATAATTGTATGCAGCATGCAATCACCGTTAACTGGTTGTTCACCAGCCTTTTGTTATGCTACTGCTACGACGGAGGCTGCAAGGTTAATATGTACTATATTTTCTCAAGAAGACGTTCCTGTTCAGCTCTAGGAATTTGTTGTCGTTGCGTCTATTATCGGTTTACAGGACTTTGGTCTAGTCAGACTGCACAGGTGAAAAAACTTAAATGCTTTCAGTGTAGATTTTAACCAATCCCGCGGGTTTTCCACATGACATGCGTAGGTTGGGTCTGGCCCTATAACGAAGCTGAGAGAAGCCTCTTGAAAGCAGATCTGCTTACATGCACTACTTAATATAAGATGCAGTCGCCTTTCAGACGAAGTTTACTTAAAAGCTCTAATCCATGCGAATGTTACACCCGAAGATTAAATGAAAAAATTGAACCCAAAGTGGATTTTCAACGAAATGCCAAGTTTATAATCTATAGTTCCGGCTGATAATAAGTGGACACTTAAAACCAATTTTCCTTAGCAAGAAAATATACGAATTTAAAGGCTCAGTGACATGAAGGTGCTTACGAAACACCTTACGGACTTCCGCTTAACTTATGAGATTTCGCCAGACTGTCTGGAGTCTTTGCAGTTGGTTTGCGTCTACTAGTTATTTTTTGGCCATCGAACGTAACATAACCTGGTACGGACTAGTAATGACAAGTGTGGTCCCTTCATCTAAAAGAGATATCGTGATTTTCGCATTATAGAGTTAGTTTGCAATTTGTCCCATTTTGAGCTTGGAAGTGCTTGTTTCCCCTATAATTTTGATTGTGATATATCTACGGGGATCTGACTTTGAAACGCCATTACCCGAAACACTGACCGACCAGTCAGCCAACGAAGATAGAGTCAGAGGAGACCAGAAAAAAGTTTGACGTCAATGCTCTTTTCTATGGTTAAGGCCAGTGCGCTGTGCAGTGACTGTCAGATTTTTTTTCGCCTACTGACCCATTTTGTTCAGCTTTCCCTAGCCTACTTTAACAAAGTTTGCTCAGTATATTGCCAGCAAACCTGAAGTTAACGGAAAATTGGAAGAATTTACTGACCTTTCTATTTTAAGGCTGTGTGGAAATTATATTTTAACCTACTTTGTCCTGGTTGACGTGATCACATTAGTGTGCTTCTACATTATTCCTTAAACCATCGGGTTTGGACAGCCATTTGCCACCAATTTTAAGAATACTATGGTAGTCATACTAGAGCGTATTTCCCTTATTTCTCCTTGTTGGCGTTACCGGGTTTATATATTCTGTACAGTTGCGAAAAAATTATGTTATAATTTGCTGTTGAGCTTCTATCTTAGTCATGCCATAGTTATGCCATTCTGCTTAATTTGCGGACTTCCTCTGTTTACCTTCAAAGCCGCTGACGTTGTAAAGCCTATCTTGGCATCCATTCGAAAATTAATACGCCTTCTGACGTCTTTGCAGTTTTCCATGGGTTCAAATCTGCTAATTTTATTAGTATGCTATTTCTTAAAATCACTTTGAACAGTTTGCTTTACGGCTTTGCCTTTGCATGAAACAAAATTGATGCAGTTGGACTAATCTGATCTTCTCTTAAGTTTTTCTTTGTTGGTTTGATTAAGCCAGTAAGACCTGCAAATTCAGCTTTTTTCAAATTCTCACCTTTCGCAAATGTTTCCTCTCTGTACTTCCGTTTGTTTTTTTTATTGCACCATGCTGTAAATGCCTCATGTAAATGTTTTTATATTGAAGTCATCTTCCCTCTTTTCAGTTCTGTGAATTATGCACGAAGCCTTTTACCCCATCCGGCTGATCAAGAACAACCACTATGAATTTGAAAGCATTGCCTGCTACCAAAATTACCTTTTGCTCGGAGCTAAATCCGGTTTGTTACTGATCTACGAGGTTGTGCCTGCAAGCGACACACAAGCAAAAGCTTTTGTGCCACCAGATAAACCCGAAAAGTTGACAAGACAGGTTAAACCTCTCGTGCTCTCAACCGATGATGGTGGGATTGCTGTGGAATCTGGACAACACATGACGGCGGCTAGTTTTGAACTCCCCTCTTTCAATGTCCGCGTATGTGCAACTCACCACCTCAGCAAGAAGCGGATCATGCAGCTTCGTGCAGTGCCTGAATACGGAATTTTTCTTGCCCTGACGGACCTCCATCTAGCCGCTTACAGACTCTCGGACCGTCAGCTCGTTGCCGTTGTTCCCAACAGCAAGGGCACCTCACATTTCGCAGTTATTTTTAAATCAGGCTTGGACTCTCGTCCTGTGCTAACCAGCCCACGAAATAGTCGCGGTAAGTTTTCAGTCTTCAGATTGCCTCATTTCGTTTTCACCAGGTACTCTCATATAAGTAT